AGCCGGATAAGTTGGTGCGAATTTTGTCGAGGATACCTGAAAACGAATCATTCGTGAGTCTACCATGGATAGAAGGGACACCTAGATACTTACCCAGATCGGTTACTAAAGGAATGCTGGTCCTCTCCAAAACGGCTTGCTGTACCGAAGGCTGAGTGTTTGCTGAAAAGAATATGGATGATTTGAGGAAGTTAATGCGTTCGCCAGAAGAGTTGCAGAAGGTGTCAAGGCAATGCATCATAGTTTCAGCTTGGGAGGTCGAAGCTTCCCCAAATAACACCATGTCGTTTGCAAATAGGAGGTGGGAGATGAGAGGGCCTTGCTTGGCCAGCTTAATTCCTCTCCATTTTCCTGCAAGTACCGCGTGCTCAATTAGGTGGCTGAGTCTTTCAATACAAAAAACAAATACAAGGGGGGAAATAGGGTCTCCCTGACGAATGCCACGACCGGGGTTGAACCATTCCGAACGCTCTCCATTCCAAGCTATTGATAATCTAGGTGAGCGGATGCAAGCAAAAATGTTCCTTATCCATGTCTGGTTGAAACCTATGTCTTCCAAGGTGTCTTGAATGAAGTTCCATGAGCGACGGTCATATGCTTTTTCCAAATTTATTTTCCAGATCATCCATCCTACTGCTCCTGTTTTCTTTCAAGTTGAATTCAGAACCTCCTGGTAAATTAAGATATTATCTGTTATTTGTCTGCCAGGTACAAAACTTTTGTCTGAAATTGGCCGATAAGATTCTGCGAGATGTCCTTAAGTCTTGTCGTCATGGCTTTGGTTAGAATCTTATATGTCACATTGCATAAACCAATCGGGCGGAGCTGCTTCACTGTCTCTGGGTTCGAGGATTTGGGAATGAGTGTAATAACAGTGTCGTTGCACTCCTCCGTAATCGTGCCATTAGCAAAGAAGTCCTGAGCAAAAGTGATGATGGAGTCCCCAACTATTTGCCAAGTTTGCTGGTAGAAGCCTGCGCTAAAGCCATCGGGTCCCGGAGCTTTACAAGGGGCCATGTCGAAGAGAGCCTTCCTGATCTCATCAGGGGAGAAAGGCTTGTTCAAATTGCTCCAGATTTTAGCAGTGATGGGAGGGAAGTGGCCACGAGGGAGGGTAATGGGGTGTGCTGGTTCTGCCGTGAAGAGCTCTATAAAATAGGTGCGAATATGATCGCGTATACCAGTTTCCTCTATGATCCAATTATCAGAAAGATCCTTCAATTTCTTGATCTTCAAAGAATTATTCTTTAAAGCGGTGGCCATGTGGTAGAAATGTGTATTGGTAGAGTATCGCTTCCATTTCTTTACGCAACTTCTGGTCTAGTTTAATCAGGTTCGAGCTGCACTGTTCTGCCAAGCTGCGCTGCACTCCACTTAGCCGTGCCATCACTCTTTTCTTCTTCTGAAAAATATTGCCAAAAACATCTTTATTCCATGAGGTGAAGGCTAGGGCCATGATAGTCTTATTGTGGTCGAGGTCAAATTCCTTGCTCCAGGTTTGGCGTACGAATTCCTGAAAGAGATGGTGTGAAGTCCATGCCATGTTGAACCTAAATGGTTTCTGCCTGGATGCCAAACAAGGAGAAGAAGTCTTGATCTGAAGGGGAGTATGATCGGAGTTGAGCATCGGTAGGTGTTCAATTTGTGAATCTGTAAATGAAAGTTTTCAATCCATACTGCAGAGCCCGCGGTCCAACCGTGCTCCTTTGAAAGTCGACTGACTTAGGCCTCTCATCCACGTAAACTTGGAACCCGAGAAGCCTAAGTCCACCAAGCCTTCTTGAAAAATCCAATCGGTGAAGTCAGTGCAACGGGAGTTCTGCCAATTTGCCGGATTGCTGACATCTTCTGTACTGGTAACGAAGTTAAAGTCGCCTGCAGCTAGCCAGGGCCCTCGGATATTCAGGTTAGATCGTGTTAAATCGGAGAAGAGTTTCCTCCTGAGTGCTTGGTTCGGACTGCCATATACAGCAGCAAAAAGCCATGGTGTGGAGTTGGGTTCGCAGACCTGCATCAAGACAAATTGCGGATGTGTATAGCAAATTTCTAATGAGCAACTGTTGTTCCAGAATATCCAGATTCCACCAGAGTATCCCACTGCTTCAACTCTCAGCCAATCCTTGAATCCAAAGCTTGAGCAGATGGAGTCCGCCTGGGTACCTGAAATCTTAGGCTCAAAAAGGCATAAAATTGAAGGAGAAAAAACTCGAATCAAATTTTTCAGGGAACGGTGAAACGACTTGGACACCGCTCCTTGGCAATTCCAAGTAATAATGTTCGTGAATAAATAGTAAGGGGTAGAATGCGCTTAGGAGCGCATGGGGTGAACACCCCCAGAAACGAACGGAGCAGAGATATCCGTAGAAACAGTCAGGTCGGTCATCGACGCATCAGGAGGATCGGGCCTTTGTGGAGGGTCCGGAGGCTTCTCTGGAGGAACTGAGGCTTCCAAATCAGCCATCATGGGTTCGTCTGAATGGAAGACTACCGTTGTGGCTATGGACTTGCCTTTGTCATAGCCCCGAACGACAGTATGCTCAAGTTCAGCTGCTGCTCGCCTGGGGGCACTACTTCTGCTGCCTGCAATCCAATTGGAGCGAGTATGTGTTTGCCTTAGAGGCCTTACATTCGGTAAGGATTCTCCGAGTGGTTCTCCTGTGGTGAAGGTAATGTGTGGTGACTGGGGTTGTTCACGAGGCCCAGAAGGATGTTGGTAGGTTGGGGCAGCATTAGACGTAGACGCCATCTGAAAGTTTGGCACTGGGATCAACCCCTCTCCTTCCAGATTGGCCAGTGGTGTAAACCGAGACTGGTTCTGAAAGGTAGGAGGCTGAGCAGCGTTGATTCTGGGCTGCCTCTGGGGCTGGTCCGGGTTGGGAGCACTGGTTTGGTTTGAGCGGTGATCCGGCCTTTTGGGACCTCTTCCAATTCTTCGTGGCGCAATCATCCAAGGACCGAACTTATCTGTTAGGATCGGATTTGGCTCAGGTTGCGGGTGGGGGCGTACATGATCTTCGTTCTGGGCCATGTCAGATGGTGCGTCCTCAGAGGGCTTAGCTGGGAGGCCGGTAGTCTTGCCACATTGGTCTAGGCGGTGACCGTAGAGGCCGCAGCCAAAGCAAACTAGATGCATGCCCTCGTATTCAACTAGATGAATCTTGTCTTCTAGAGTGAATTTCGATCTCAGAGGTCTAGTAATGTCAACTTCTACACACAGACGTGCGAAGCTGCCTTTCGATACGAGGCTGGTAGTGGAATCGATTTTCACCGGCCGCCCAACCTTACGAGCAAACTTCTTCAAGATTTCCTCATCATAATACTCTACCGAGATGGAGGGGAGACGAATCCATACCAGAAGCTTCTCGGGTCTGTCATCCTGGGGATCAAAATCTGGTTTCCATTCTTGAACAAAGAGGTAGTGGTCGAAGATTACCCATGGTCCTTCAAATTTGGCGACCTCATAGTCGCGTAGAGATTCGAATTTGGCGATGAAGTAGTCATGTTTGAGCGCTATAAGGTCCATCGGGCCCTCTGGCTTCCACATTGCTCTGAGGCGTTGGAGAAGGTATGAGTAACCGATTCGTCTTCCGAGTAGACGAATGATGAGGGAACGCCGCCAAGGGCGTGTGATTCTCTCCTTTTCTTCCGCGGTGATTACTACCACTGGGAAATCGACGTCAAAATCATCATCGGCCTTATCATCTTCGGGGGCCACAGTAAAAGGCTTCGCCGGTGCTCTGGTTCTCTGTGCCCAGAAGGTTGCCGCATTGGGTGTGAAAGATGAGGGCGGAGTTCCCCAGGCCTCCGTTTCTTGAGGATTGGGAGAGGGTTGGTTTAGATGTGGAAGCTCCAAGCGTGGTGAGCTTACCGCTGATAGTAAGGGTGATGAGGATTCAAGGACAGAGGCATCGCGCTTGGGTTTCTTGGAGCTGCGAGAAGACGGGTCTTGGGGTTCCGGTGACCGTTGAGGGGTTGACGGTGGATGGTTTACTTCGGGAGGATTCATCTCTAGAGAGAGAAAGTCACTAATTCCTCTTTAATTGCTCATTAATTGCCCATCTCTCCGGATCACTTGGACCCTTCCTATTTCAATTCCGCTCCACCAACTCCTCCCACTACTCGGCCTTCTTTGCCCAGCTCCTGCATCGGCTCGGCTCCCCGACTACTCCATCCACTCGACTCTGCCTACCTGGTTCCTTCATCCACTTGGTCCGCCTGCTTGGTTCCTCCATCCACTCGGGTTTATAGGAATTGTTGTCGCACTCGTCTGGCCTTTTTAAACTCCTCACTGGGTGGGTCGTCAACCCACTCATCTTGTCGTCTGACTGACTTCTTCTCCCTTCCTTCCTTTGCACGACCGCCTGTTGCGAGGGGCCGTTTGCCTCCTTAACCCATGTGAATAATTGATGTAGCTCAATTGACTCCTCGACTGCGCCGATTCCTTCTTGATTGGTCTCACTACTTCTTGATTGGTCTGACCACTTATGTTGATCCGCTCCATCTTCGGCCACCTCTCGCATTCTCCGTCCACCCAACTTCCTGACATCTTCTTTTGGCTCGTTATCTCGTCATGTCCTTCTTATCATTCTGCCTAACATCGTTATTCTCCCGGTCTCTGGGCTCATATCCCATCAGTTATCTAGAGAGAAAATTTCATCAAGTAACCAATTCATAATCCACGTTCATTTGATATTTGGGTTTTTTTTTTAAGGTAAACTGCTGCTTATATTAATCAATCAAAGCTGAAACAAACATAGGAGGATCGTCCTCCCATGCCATAGAGTCCGAATGTGAATAGGCTCCTAAAGCTAACGAATGTGCTAAAAAATTAGACGTACGAGGAATATAAATAATAGAGCACAAAGTAAAAGAACTAAGCAAGTCCCGACATGCTGAAACAGCTACACCATCATATGAGCGAAACTCCGTCGTTGAAGTAGTAAGGGCATGACAAAGATTTGAGCAATCCGTCCGAAGTACAACCTCCGTAATACCACGATCTATGAGCCAGGAGAGGGCCTCCTTGCACGCGAATGCTTCCGCCATGAAAGGACCCTGGCAGGTTGGTAATGGACCGTTCTTGGCTGCAACGAAACCACCGTCCGGCCGTTGCAAAATGATGCCAAAAACACCCATCCCAGATGCGGGGCCACATAGCCCGCATCAAAGGAACACTGCAAGCAATCCTCGTTGGTCCATGCGGCGGTCGCAGCTGCAGCCTGACGTGCATGTCCAGCCGCTGCCTCCGCACCATGTTGCCGCGCCGGAAGGACGCACGTCGCACGCCATGCATCAATGGTTGCCGTGGCGATTGCATATACGCGACGAGGGATCCCCAATTTGTACTCCCATACAGCCGTATTACGTTGCCTCCATAGTTGGTATATGATGGCCATCATAGAAGAGAAGTGATTGTCATCAACTTTCTGGAACAAGGCTTCAAGCCACACACCAAACCCATCTCCCGCCATACACTGCACCATCAATCCAGAAATATTCCATACACATTTAGAATAATCACATAACACAAGAGTATGCAAAATATTTTCAGAGCAAAGACCACACAAAGGGCATGCTATAGGGACGGACCTCTACCCTCCTATTTATTAAGTTGTCCATAGTGGGGAGCACACCACTCATAACTCCCCACAAAAAAGTTTTCCACTTAGGGGGTACTTTTAGGTTCTAAATCCTATTCCATGATGAGAAACCATTGGGATGCATAGGTACGTATCCCATCAATTCACGGTAAGCACCCTTCACAGTGTATACCCCTTTGGATCCCCATACCAATACCACAAATCTTCATAGGTCGGACTTATAGAGATTTTAACAATCCGGGCAATATCATCTGGCAGAAATAGCTCATTAAGTAAAGGCATATCCCATGTCGAGGCTGCCGGGTCTATTAACCCAGAAACTTTCACTTCACCCAAATGCTCAGGCTTATCAGATAATATTTTAGGGGTGGACTCACCCATCAACCACGGATCCCCCCAAACCAAAGTAGCATCTCCATTCCCTATCCTGCGTCTAATATTGCGAAAAATTAAACCATGAGAAGCCATAACACTCCTCCAACAAAAACTTGGGTTATTTTCAACTGTGGCATTCAAAAAATCAGTCTTCGGATAATACCTGGCCTTATAAACTCTGGCAACCAGAGACGGACGATTAGTAAGGAATCTCCACCCCTGCTTACCTAGCATGGCCAAATTAAAAGCCCTTAAATCCTTGAAACCCAACCCACCAAACTTCTTTGGCTTACTCAACTTATCCCATGCCATCCAATGAATTCCCCTACCATCCCTCCCGTTACGCCACCAAAATCTGTTCATAACACGTTCCAGGTCTTTACATAAGGTGTCAGGTAGTAAGAATACACTCATAGTAAAAGTAGGCATGGCCTGCGTCATGGATTTCAACAAGATTTCCTTTCCTGCCTGAGACAAAAGTTTCTTGTTCCAGGAGCCAATTCTCTGCCTAACCTTATCACCAATGTACGCAAACACAGCTCGTTTATTTCTTCCCACAAAAGTCGGAAAGCCTAGATACTTGCCGAAATTGGCTGCCTGCTGCACCCCAAAGACTGCTGTCACAACATTTCTATCTGCAAGCTGAGTATTTCTACTAAAGCAAATATTTGACTTATGATAGTTGATAGTCTGACCAGAAAGTTCCTCATACAATGTTAAACACCTTCTGATGACCCCTGCTTCCTGGACATTAGCCTTAAAGAATAGGAGGCTATCATCCGCAAAGAACAAGTGCGAGAGCGCAGGCGCCCCTCTTGCAACTCTTAACCCATGAAAATCCCCCATGTCTTGAGCTTGCTGCAACAACAGAGATAACCCCTTTGCACAAATAATAAACAAATATGGGGACAAAGGATCACCTTGACGGAGACCCCTAGACGGGATTAACTGCCCCCCCCCCCCCCCCGATGCCCCATTAATCATAATATTATAAGACACGGTGGTAACACATTCCATAATCAAATTCACCCACCTCATCTCAAAGCCCAGAGCCACAAGCATCTTTCTAAAAAACGACCACTCCATTCTGTCATATCCAATTTCAGTGCTCCCCAACCAACCCTACCCAACTGCTACCTATTCAAGAAATGCCCCACTTCAGCAACAACTAATATGTTATCAGTGATAAGCCTACCCGGAATAAAAGCACTTTGTGACACAGATATTATATCACCCAACATAGGCTTCATACGATTAGCAATAACCTTGGTAATTATTTTATACACCACATTACTCAGGGCAATCGGGCGCAAATCAGCTACTAATCCCGGGGACTGTTTTTTAGGGATCAACACAACATTCGACTCATTAAGCCCAGGCGGTAAAGACCCCGAATTCAAGCAATCAAGAACAAAATCAGTGACATCCATCCCCACAACATCCCAAAACTGTTGATAAAAACCCGGGTTCATACCATCAGGCCCCGGGGCTTTATCAGGGAACATGGCAAACAAAGCAGCTTTAACCTCCCCCGGGTCATAGGGTCGGTTAAGCCATTCATTATGGGACTGAGTAACACGAAGAGTAACCGAAGCAAAGAAATCAGCCCCGTCAACCACAGCCGGATTAACAGTAAAAATATCATTATAATAATTCATCACAACTGGTTTCAATGCATCACCATCTACCCACCTCCCCAAATCATCTTTAAGACGCAAAATAGTATTCTTACGTTTTCGGGCAGAAGCGTACCTGTGATAGAAACGTGTATTCGCATACGCCCCTCGGATCCAATGCTGTTTGGCACGTTGCCTCCAAAAAAATCCTCCTGCTTCTCAAGCACTGACAGCTCAGTCTCCAATTGGCGAAACTCGGCCAAGGCTTGTAGACTCCTATGCCCCCTACAATTCAACTGCTGTTTCTTTAGAATTGCAATACGTTCTCCAAACTTATGGAAACGATCACCCCCCCCCCCCCCATCTTTGGAGCTTCATACCACACCTCTATAAACGGGCCTGCAAATCCTCCACCCCCTGACCCCAAGCCTCCTCCACCACCTCCCTACATCCACCATCCAACAACCAGGCCATTTCAAAACGAAAACCCCGATTGCCTGCCCCGCCCCTTACGTCGGGCCGGATATCAAGAAAAAGCGCCGAATGGTCCGACCTTCTTGTCAATATATTATAGACCCTTGCCCCCTCCACCAACGCCCACCATCCATCACTTGCCACTACCCTATCCAACTTTTCTTCCACACAGGCCACCGTCCCCTTGCCCTTCTCCCATGTAAATTGATAACCAATCATAGGGATCTGGCCCAATCCACAATCCTCCAGTGCATCTCCATAACCCCCTCAAGAGAGGTTCCGAATGCTGGTAACGCCCCCGCTTCTCATACTGAAATAGTAAATCGTTAAAATCACCCAAAACTACCCACGGCAGCGGAGAACGATGCCTTAGGCTCCTGAGCAAATTCCACGAGTCAACACTTCTGTTCTGTTGTGGAAAACCATAAAAGCCCGTCATCCTCCAAGGCTCATAACCAGGCAGCGTAACACTTACATCAACATGATTCCGGGAGTAACTCAAGAGACTAACCGAGTTATTTGTCCTCCACAATAAAGCCAATCCACCACTCAATCCCCTACTGTCCACATAGAACAAGCCATCAAATCCCAGACGCACCCGCAAACATTCCTCATGATCCCTACCAACCTTCGTTTCCATTAAGAATATAAAGTCAGGTTTCTTCCTGGATGCTACGTCCAATAGTTCCCGAACTGTGCGTGGATCACCCAAGCCACGACAGTTCCAGCTCAGAGTACTCATAATGACGGGCGGGACTGGGAACCAGTACCCGCCATGAACAAGTTTTTTGAAATATCGGCCATTGTCACATCATCTCCACCCCTCACCACACCTCCCTCACCATCCCGCCCCTCCTCTCTCCTCCTCTTCGGCCCTACCGTGGTACCACCCTCCATAACCCGGGGATCATTCGAGATCACAACCAAACCACCACCCCCCCCCCCCACACGCTCTACCACCTTCTCCCTCTTCCCCCCAACCGGGATTAGCCACGAATGGCCTACCGGCCTCGGACCACGCGGTAGACCCGCCTTCATCTCGGCCCCATAAGGATATTGCTCAACCGACAGTGTTGAGTTCCTTGCTTGCAAATAGAATTTATATGAGTGGCCCAACAGACCACAGAGAAAGCAAAAAGTATGAAGCCTCTCATACCTGAAATTGACCCAATACCATGTTTTATCCCGTTTTGCCAACCTCATCCTACGCCGCAACGGAGTATCAACCGGGATACTCTCCCGAATATGATAGAAAGCCTTCCACGGCCGATCATCAAACCTCTCGTCCCCTTTCACAAACTTGCCCAGAAAATTGCCTATCTGCTCAAGGATCACCGCAGACGTATAACCCATAGGGAGGTCATAAACCTGAACCCACATATCCACACTATCAAGCACCACATCCAACGGCAAAACCCCCTCCGTGACCGGCCTACAAACCAAGGTATGGTTGTCAAAGGACCAGGGCCCCTCATCAACAACACGCTGCAAATCCGTCTGATGATAAAACACGAACATAAAGAGATTAGGCTGCAATCCGGATACCTGAACCCTACACACAGGCTGCCATGCAGAGGCCAAGACCTGCTGCATAAACTTGAGCTTCACCAAACGCCTCGTCAAAAACCGACCGACCAAAACCCATGTTTGTCGGCCCCCCTCCGACTCCGCCGACTGCCCTTCGCCGACCGGAACCAAGAGATCCTCATCGTGCAGACCAATTCCCGCATACCCTTCCACCAATTCCTCAACACCTTCCGACGTTGCACGCTGGTCCATCGTAAAACTGCGAACAAAACCGAAAACTGCTCCTGATTAACGCTAATGTTCGCTTGTCTGTAAACTTTAGTCGAATCCAAAAACCATGAAACTAGGCAGTAACCCTAGAAAGAATGAGAGAAAAACTCCAGAAAAACCCTAGAGTTAGAGTTGTTATTTAATTTTGATATTTGGGTTTGATTGTTTATTTATTTATTTAATAATTGGATTGCTTGCATTGTACAACAACCATTCTCTTGAAGACTTCCCCTACCGAAGTGTTAGGTATTACATTATATTATTGGGTTATATTCCCTTTTCATTTAGGAATTGCCTCCAAAGTTTTATAATTTCACAAATTGACCCTTAAAATATTAACTTTCTTTCAATTTAACCGAGCTTCAAAGCACCACTTATATATTTGTTCTTACGAATTGACCCCAAATTTTATGATTTTCTTTGCTTAAGTCGTCACCTACAAAAAGAAATATACAATTAACAAGATTAACTCAAATTCATCTAATCTTGCCCGTACGAATTCAAAGTCAAATAGTACAGACAATATTAAAATGTTTCATATATATATATATATATATATATATATATATATATATATATATATATATATATATATATATATATATATATATATATATACTAGTTTTTTACGCGCATTGCGCGATTGGGATAATGCCCAATGTTTTTTTTTTTTTTTAAATAAGTACTTTAAAGTATATTAAGGCAGGATTATATTGAAATTGTTCATGCATAGATAATTGAATGTTGAATTTGCGTATTTAAATAGGTAATTCTTCTCCCAAAGGATGAGTCCTCAACCCCAAGGACCCCCACACTCCGACCCGACAAAGCATTGTGGGAAGTTGTATATCACGGTGACTCAATGGTTCAGCAGACAGGGCCAAATGCTGATACGCACAAGGAATCTGCCCACTTTGGACATAATTCCCGCACTGCCGCTGCCGAGGTTCAAACCTTGGTCTCTTCTCCCAAATACTACCCACTAAACCATTGAGCTAAGCCCGTGCGGGTTAAATAGGTAATTCTAAGTTTACAAATGCAAGATAATATAGTCAAGATTGATTATAATTGTCAATAAAATAATTGTATAGGTATTGTTGAAACCAAATACGGGACGTAATGGAAAACAAATAAAAATTAGGGCATAAAATATTAAATATATACTAATATTGTTTGAGGAGATTCCGACATTAGGATTTGTGGTTAAGTTCTATTAAGACTTTAATATTAGAATTAGATTAATGGTGTAGTTATAATTCTATATTAGACTTTAATATTAGAATTAGACTAACAGTGAATTAACGAAAAAACGAAAAAATTAAATGGATAATCATATAATTAAAGATAAATTTTAAAATTTTAAAAGAAAAAAATTAAAACCTGAACAATATGAACCATTCATTTGATTTAATAATTTGGCGGTCATTTTTTCTACCCAATGTTAATAATTAAATAAATTCGCTGGTAAAATCCGCTAGTATGATCCGCTAACGCTAACCGCTAACTGCGATTGTCAAACAAGGACATTGGGAGGTAGTTCTTACTTCAATTTGTTGTGTGATTTGAATACTCTCTTTGTCACAAAATCTCTCAAGTAGTTAATATGGTTGGCTTTATTAATTATATTTTTTTTTTTAATTTTTTCATGGTATTAATAAAATACTTGGTAAATAAATATATAGCATTATTTTGTATTATAACTTTGATATTTAATTAGAAAAATAGTGCACAAAAAAGATAATAGATAATGTAGTGAATATAATCAATTGATGAATTTGAATGTAAAAATTTTTACATTTGAGAAAAATAAAGACAATATAACTAATGAAAATATTTCTTTTAATTAATTTATTGATAATTAATAATTTTTTTTCACTGAATAAAGACATTGTAAGGATAATGTAGCGAATATAATCAATTAATAAATTTGAATATAAAGAATTTTTATATTGAAGAAAAATAAAGACAATATAACTAATAAAATTATTTCTCTTATTTAATTTATTGATAATGAATAATTTTTGTTTTTGAATAAAGACATTGTGGACACATAATTCTAAATTAAAGAAATGCATATGTATTATTTTTCGTTGTAACTACTAAACTATTATTTATATAATTTAATAAGAGTAAACTAATTATGCCAACTTTGATTGGGATGAGGTTCAAACCTAAGACCTTTTTTTATTGAAATCAATGAGTAAGTTAACAGTGAACTAACGGCAATTCTTAAAATTTTAACGGAATTAGTAACGGTGTGTGGTATTTTAGGGAATTTTAGTGTAAAATTTAAATCTGATCAATCTTTTAATCAATCTGAGCCATACATTTGATTAAAATCTGTGACCGCCATTTTTTCTACCCATTATAGGCCTAACTCTCTTGGGCTCTTATTAGTATAGTAGATAGTATATATATATATATATATATATATATATATATATATATATATATATATATATATATATATATATATATATATATATATATATATATATGCGGGGGGAATCAACATTTTGGTCCTTCAATTGTTTTTCATCTATCAATGTATGTAGTCCTTAATTTTCAATTTCAACCAATTTGACACTCGAATTGTTTAAAATTTCGTCAATTAAACCATTTCAATGACCAAATTGATGAAATTTTAAAAATGTGAAAATCACCATTTTAGTCCCTGAAAGGGTTTTGATATAGTAAATACGTGAAGTCTACTATACAGTCCTAGGTCGGTTAGGGCTCGGATCATGTTCCAAGTCCGCTTGTTGGTTTAAGCCTTTATGCTCGGTCAACGTAATAGTGGGTCAGAGGTTCCCGAGTTAAAAGTCAAGGAGTAATAAATGCCAAAAGTCCCTTCTACCAGTAATAAATGCGGTATTTATAGCATTTGGTAGGGGACATATTCCGATCTTGCCGCATGAAGGGCACGTGGAGCCCATGCATCGGTGCAGGTCGGGGTTCTAAGGGATTCCTACACGTGTCGTGATGCTTCTGTAGGTAAATGCTACGTTACTGAGTCTAGGTCGGTGGTCGGGCTATGAGTAGGTCGGGAATATGCCACGTCTTGGTGACCACGGGACAAGCAACTAAGCTCGCTCAGTAGGCTAAATGGTCGGGAAGTGATCGTAGGCGAGGCCGGTTTAGGTCGGGTCAAGTATGTCCTGCCTCGGGGTTCTGATACCGACCATCACTCATGCATCGCTCTCAGGCGATATTTCCTATCAGGTTCAATTGACGAAATTTTAAACAATTCGAAATTGATTAAAATTGAAAACTAAAGACTACATTGACAGTTGAAAAATAATTGATGGACCAAAATGGTAATTAACTCTATATATAATTCATGGGGTTGTATCTCTTGGTCAAGGGAAGAGACTGATGAGAGTGTAGAGTGGTTGATCAGTTTTCAAACTATGGCGCCTACTCGTTTGACTAATGAATTCAGAGTAGAAATTAAGATTAGTTTTGATTTCTCATTTCCAGCCAGGTGAGGGAGAACACTTGGAGAACTCATCCACATTCTTCACGTTCAATTCCTTGATCATGGTGAGCTTGGAGGTTATATTATTTGAATTCTTTTTAATTATTTTATTTTGAAGTAGAAGAGGAATATATATATATATATATATATATATATATATATATATATATATATATATATATATATAGAATACGAATTTTTGTATTTTATTAATTGGTTGAACCACGAAATTGATAAAATAAAATAAGCTCATTCCGCAAAAATACTATCAATTGACTTATTTTGAAATTTGCTTTTATGTATTGAAATTTTGTTAAATTTTCCGGTGGGTGCTTAGGCTGCGGCAGGCGGTGAAAGAGAGTCAAACAAGCTTCAGCTCTACTCCTTCTGGCTGAGCTCTTGCTCTTGTCGTGTTCAAATTGCTCTCAATCTCAAAGGTTTGTTCCATCATTAATTGAAGAGTTACATGATTTTGGCGGTACGGTTTAACATTTCGTGATTTTATTTTTGTTTGAATAAATATATAAATCACAGGACTGGATTTCAATTACAAACCAGTTGACCTGGTGAACGGCGAACAATTCAACCCTGGTAATACGCTTTCTCAAATTCTTCACCATTATCAGTTTTTGAGTTAATTACCAAAATAGTTTCTTGAATATAGTAAAATTATCAATTTACTTTTTATCTATTTTTTTTGTTTAATTAAGTCCCCTAGAAATAACTCCCCTATGAAGATTTACTCTAATTAAATCTATATATTACAAATAAGAGTGACTCTCCTGTGAGACTACATCATGAATACTTATCCGTGAGATAGATCGAGTTAAGATAGAAATTTAATACTTATACTGAAAAATGTAATACAAATAAGAAATGGAGTACTTGTTACTTATAAGGAAAATTGTAATACTTTTGAGAAAAAAATGTAATAATTTTAAATAAAAAATATAAAATTATTACATTTTTATTTTAACCCGATGTGCCTCACAGACAAAAATTCGTGAGACGGTCTCACACAAATTTTTGCCTATAAATAATCAAGTAATTGACTGACTAAATATGTTATTTCCCCCCTATATATATATATATATATATATATATATATATATATATATATATATATATATATATATATATATATATATCTGGTGCAGTTGTGGGGTTAAATCTGAGCCATTGATTTTTCTTAAATCAATGTCTAGGATTAATCAAAATTTAAAAAAAAAAAAACGCGGTGGTAATTTGGTAATTTTTACTTCTAAGTCAAATTTAAGGTGCGTGAGTTTTGTGAAGGTGCCTGGGTTTGTGCTTAAGGTGTGTGGGTTGTTTACTTAATGTGAGTAGTTGTTGAAACTTAAGGTGCATGAGTTTTGTGCTTAAGGTGCGTGAGTTTTGTGCTTAAGGTGCGTGGGTTTAATTCTTAAGGTGCGTGAGTTTTGTGCTTAAGGTGCGTGAGTTCTGTGTTTAAGGTGCGTGGGTTCTGTGTTTAATGTGAGCCATTTTAAAATCTTAGGTGCATTGTTTGTGTTCTTAATGTGCTTTGTTCTGTGCTTAGGGTGCGTGGTTTATGTACTTAAGGTGAGTGATTTGTGTTCTTAAGGTGCTTTGTTTGTGTGCTTAAGGTGCGTGGTGATTTGTGTACTTAAGGTGCGCATTTTAATGCTTAAGATGCTTCCAACTGCACAACCACATGGGAAACCATTATATATATATATATATATATATATATATATATATATATATATATATATATATATATATATATATATATATATATATATATATATATAAACACACACACACACACACACACACAAGTTCAAATGCGGACAGTGTTTTCCATGCGGCCGGTACGAATTCACCATTAGGGGTATACATAAATGCAACGCACTGCAATGAAATGCACTAATGCATCACACACCAAAAAATGCATCACATCTAATGGTGCAATTCCGAACACTTTGTGGTGCATTTATGTGTACCTAATGGTGAGTGACCGCAACAGAAAGCACTGTCTGCATAATAACAAGACCTATAGGGAAGGGATCAGGTGTGGGAATGGCTTCCCGTGCGATTGTGCGGTTGGATGCACACTAAGCATTAAATTGACACATTTTAAGTACACAACACACGCACATTAAGCACACAAACAAAATACCTTAAGAACACTAATCTCACGCACATTAAGCACAAAACTCACGCACCTTAAGCACAAAACTCACGCACAACTGTACGGGAGACACTCAATAGCACAGGAACTTAATTATATATATATATATATATATATATATATATATATATATAGAGTAATGAAACATGAGCCAAATAATAGTGTAGAATTGTCAGTTTTAATTTGCAACATTATTTATTAATTTTAAATTATATTTGGTGGTGTAAATGCAAATAAATGTAGAATTTTTGAAGCTGAATCCTATGGGGTATGTTCCGACACTTGTTGATGGAGACATAGTTATTTCAGACTCTTTTGCCATTTTGATGGTGAGACTCTCTATTTAATTATATTAGTTTGTGTGAATTTTTTTCACAATCCAAAGATGGAATAACTCATGGTAACTCATAATAATTAATGAGCAGTATTTGGAAGAAAAGTATCCGCAGCATCCATTGTTGCCCAAGAATCTTAAGTTAAAGGCTATCAATTTTCAGGTAATATAATATGCCAAGATGTTTTGGTATTGAATGGTATAGTAGTCACTTCTACATTGGCACATATTAGACTTTGGATGTGAGTTTAATTTTACCAAAATCTTGTTTAGGGCCACTACTTAAAAAATAACTAATGTTAAAATAAAGATCAAAAGGAAAATGAGAAAGCTGGTAAAATTAGCAACAAAAAAAAGGTGTAAAGTAACAACACAAATCACATAAAAAAAAAAAAGAAATAATTAATACAACTTATACTACTAACATAATTTTTAATACAGTTAAAGACTAACATTATTTCTTTTATTAAATTTTAGATTTATTATATTTAACCTTAATTATAATAAAATTAAAAATTAATTATATTAGTGATAAGTGTATATTCAAGGTCTTATTAAATCTTTACAAATAACATATAATATATACCTATCTACTCGTTTTTAAATCTTTACAAATAACATATAATATATACCTAGCTACTCGTTTTCAAAAACAAATATACCTAGCTACTCAAATTTGTTCTACTTCTCAAAATTTATCCACAATTTTTATGACTCAAATAAAATATTCAATTCAATCAAATTATAATAATTTAGAAATAATGTGTATATTTATAAATTGACTTTTACAGGCAAATAACCGAAGCCAATAATGATCAAATAAGTACATTATACATAAATATAAATAGATGTATAACTAAATAAATAATTAATTATTAAAATGAATAAATCTTTAAGTGAAAAACAATTAGTATTGTAATAAAAGCGCACTAATAATATAGATAATTCTAGCTAGGAATATAATTTTGATAATGCTAAAAGAAGATTTTGTGAAATAAATTAAGAAATATAGTGTAGTACTAGAAGGACCATATTACATTATTTAATTTTTATAGGACAACTTATTAGCTTATTTTCTCTTATAATAAGATGCTTAATTATCATGTCTTTTATATGTACTGCCATCGTCTCTAGAGTTTGATTGTTTGTTTCTTTGCCTCTAATTTATTTTGGGGTTATAGGCTGCAAATATTGTTTCTGCACATGTACAGCCTCTACAGAATCCAGCTATTCTTGTAAGTATAAAATTATCATTTGGTTCATAAATCACAATACTGTATGTATTTACTGTATGTCTCTTAGCTTTGTCATGCAAACTGTAGGACTATATTGAAGAAAAAGTTGGTCCTAATGAGAAAGTTCCATGGTGTCAGACTCATGTACGAAATGGCTTTGCAGGTAAAACCTTTAATTTGTTCCAGTTCAGCATCTAATACAACATAAAATTATTGCAGTTTAATTAGAATTTTAATTTAGAGGGAACATATTTTTTAATTTAATATTAGAACTAACACATTTCCAAGCTTATGGTTCATGTATGTGTTGCTTAATTAGAGCCGTCAAAAAATTAGTGGTTGTAGAGAGAGGGGATAATGATTATATGAGAACCACCTTCCTCAGGGTTTCATGATCAATCTGATACATTAAAAGATTAGATCTATGGATAAGATTAGTTGGTATGGTAAAGTTCAAAATTCGCGTGTGCATATGAGGCATGTGTTATGTGCATATCATATATAATATATTGCACACAGCACATGCTTAATGCGCACACTTAAATTTTTGAATTCCTGGCTACACACAACGCATGCTTGCACGCGCAAATTTTGAAACCCCAATTACACACCGTACATGCCCTATATGTACACACAAATTTTGAATCCACAATTGATCTCATCCATAAATCTGTTTTTTTATGCACTAGATTATTTCTCATTATTCCAAAAGACTGAACCCCAACCCTAAGGGCCTCCCACACCCCGGCCCGACAGAACATTTGGGAGGATGTAAATTATGGTGACTCAACTGAACATGAATCATAGAGGCTAGACCGGTGCTCACTGCGCACAAGAAGCCCCCCTCACTTTGAGAGGTTGCTCCCTCACTAGATTATTTCTCATGACTCATGGGATGGTAATTCTCATAGGAATATCACCCTCTATATATATATATATATATATATATATATATATATATATATATATATAAACATAAGTCTTTTCCCATCTCACGGATAAGAATTCATGAGACGGTGTTACATGAGACTCAACCATTTATTAATGACTGCATATGTAGGTTAGTTTGTATTAGTAGATGCTGGGTTTTTGTGCTTTTTTTTTTTTTTTTTTTTTTGAGAGAGAGAGAGAGAGGGTTTTTGTGCTTTTACTTCTGGTAATTTAAGAATATATATAATTTTGAAGCACTGGAGAAGCTGTTGAAAGATTATGCTGGAAAGTATGCCACTGGTGATGAGATATATCTGGTTAGTTTCTTTACTAGCTTACTTTGATTCCGGCCTGAAACTATACATGCACGTACACATCCATTTCTAATCAATTATTATATCATGAACCGTGATCCACCTTGTAAGGTAAATCATTGACATGAGGTACATTTTTAATATATCAAATGATCATTTTTAATATACTAAATATTTATTTTTTGAAGGTACATTATTTGAATACTAAAAATTTACGGAGTATTATTTAGTATATTACTAAATAATGAACCTTCAGTATATTCAAAATGATCATTAATTCATTTTACAATGTAAAAATACAAGTTTGGAGGTCAATTGCCATATGGGGCCCGAGGCCTGGGGCCATATAGTATGTGCTTAAAGGTGCTTCCTATAATTAGTGTTTACTCAGACACCTCTTGGTCCGGCCAAAATAAAAATTATATATTTAGTATATTAAAAATGTATTTTATGTTAGTGATCCACTTTCATGATCCATGGTATAATGATTGATAGATGTTGGAAAATTATATTCTGAACCACTGATAAATATTCTTTTTTAATATATTGAAGGTTCATTATTAATGTGTTGTACATTCATTTTTAAACAGTATTCTAAATAATGAACCTTCAATACATTAAAAATAAACATGGAATATATTAAAAATTTTATGTTAATGACTGTGGGATGTCAGTTGCATGTGCATTTGAGTGCGTTTATATATTGAAAGTTCCTCTATGTGGATTCCATGCATATTGAGAGAATATTATATATGTGATGTAGTCTTGACTAACTTGCAGGCTGATCTATTTCTAGTGCCACAAATCCATGCAGCAATGAACAGATTGAATATGGATATGGTAATTCCTTTCAACCAATTTTCATTTGGTAGCACCAAATTTATTTCATTTCTTCATAGTTAAATTTCTTTGGAAAAAAAAAAAATTGTTTTTAGTCCTTTAGTTACGTTATTTGCATTAGTGTTCTTGATCTTCATTTTCTAAAGTACTCATGAATTATTCTAACTTTAATTTTAGTACTTTTCTTTAGTTACTATATATCAATTTACTTTAACCCCATTAATAATTTCCATCATATGGATGGATTATAACATGAAAATAAGTGTAAATAATTGAAATCGCTAAAGCATCAAAGGAATTTTTAGAGGGCGTTTGGTAGTCAAAAAAGTTTGGACTTTCTTGAGACCCTAGTTAGTCCAATTCGCTAAATAATTTATAGTGGCATCTACAATGCAAAGTGGATCCTAGTCAAATTCGCTCGATTTAACTCTTCCTAGGCCTGGATTCATGAAATTCAGTAATTAATAGTCCTACAAAATTAGGAAACTTGGATTACCAAAAAAAAAAAAAAAAAAAAAGGAGTAGAAGCACATACATTATTTAATAGTATGGTCTATATAGCTGTGGACTATGATGATGGCAGCAAATAGGCATATATGCAAGTAATTCCTGATTTTACTTTAATTTTAACTGAGTTTCGATAGATCAGATGTGTAGTATTTAATTGTTTGTTCTGAATAAAGATTGGATGTTGAATAATGGTGTGCAGAATGAATTCCCACTTATATCTCGGGTATACGAGGCATACAAAGAGGTGCCTGCTATTCAAAATGCCATGCCAGAGAAACAGCCTGATGCACCCGCTGATGCAAGAGTTTGAGGTGCTTACTCATTAATGGATTATATTGACTCGGGTGGTTCAATCTGAGTCAAATAACTCAATAATTAAATGACAAATAATAAGAGACAAAGACAAAGGTAATGGAATGCGAAAGGCAATAAATTATTATACAAAGACAAAGTTTGTATTAATGAGTTGTGTCGAGCTATTACCTACAAGATATTGGAGTGATGTCTTAACGAGACAAATGAAATATATTTATACTAATCACCTCCCAACCGCCCTGCAAAAAAGGGGCGGGGTGTTACAACCATAACGGACCGAGCCCCGCGCCACACGCCCACACCGGCCGGAGTCCAAGCGCTAGGCTTGGCCCAGGTGGCAAATTATTGCCTGGACCATGGTCCAGCCAAGTTGGGTGGACCATGGTCCAAAACGACGCCGTCTCTCCACTTAAGGAGAGATGGCGCCGTTAGATGCGCGACTTTAAAAAAAAAAAAATTCGGAACGTCTTCTTCGCGCATCTTCGACATCGTCTTCGACATCTTCTTCACCATCTTCTTCGCGCATCTCCATCGTTTCCGACGCCACCTCCATCGCGAATTTCTTCTCTCCATTTTCTCTATGCGAATAGTTTCTTCGCGATTTGTCTTCGTGAATTGCTGTTCTCCGTGATTTCATTCTCTCTGCGATCAATTGCTCATCTCTTCGCAATTTGGCATGGTCCACACAGCTTCTCGCTTCTCTATCAACATAATGGATGCTATGAATTCAAATTCGAGAATGAATTATAGAGCTTTACATGCGATTTAGGTGATGTGAATGCATTGGTTGTTGTTGAATTGATTTTTGCAATTGATGTTGATCATAGACATGCAATTCTATGTTTTTCGTGTTACGATAAAGTATTTGCATGTTCTACTGTGAATATTGGAATTCTGATTAAGGTGCATTATTTATATGTTGGAAAAATAGCATTAAAATGGCATAAAATGACATGTTAAGTGGCTATTTTGTGGTACAATTATCAGTGGGGTCCACTTCCGATTTGGATCGGGTCAAAGTGGATTCGGGTTCTTCGTAGTGAGACGAAGAGATTGATATATTGTACGCTCAAAACGGATAATGGGTGAATGAGATATTGATTCTCAAAGTAGACCCATTGAGTTGGAAAAATGTAAGGGAAAAGTGAGCTTTGTCCCACATTGATTTGGAAAGAGGATTTCACCCCCCTTTTATACAAGAGCTCTTTTGGAGCTTGTAGAATTGTATAGCATAGAGGCTCTCTCGCGCGGGGGGGGGGGGGGGGTGTGCAAATCAAATTTCAACTAGAACCGAGATCGAATAGGCTTGATTCAATCCCGAGACGAATGTCGTTGGTTCTGGACTGACATAGTAATATTCTTTAGAAACGTCAAACAGTAATATTCTTTAGAAACGTCAAACCCAAGAAATCTTCTGTATTGCAGAGGTTTTGTTTTTCATACTTAAAATACAAATCTTGCTTGTGTCACTCTTATGGGAATTAAAGGTCTTTTGTTCCACCTTCTGAATTGTAATGATTCAATATCAATGATGAAAACCTTTGATCATACATTGCTTTTCTTGGCCTTAGTTTCATAAGCATTGGAAACGAGAATAATTTCATTAATTTCTTTATAGGTTCCACTCTTATTAGGCTATTAAACCATGTGCTATATTAATATTTGTCACTAAGAAATCAATAAAATTCTTAGTTTGCATGATCTGCATTTTATCTTGAGGTGAGATGTAACGAGTGAATTTTTGAGTAATGACTCTCCATAACCTGATTACCAACAAGTTTCCAGTTCTTTTAACTCTCTATAAAAACAATATGCATGTTCATTTTAATTTACTTTTTTTCCCTCACCTGCAAATTCAATACAATATGCATTTGAGCTTTTTCTATGTAGAAGCTAAGATGAATACTAATTAATTTTCCAACTAACTCAATCTTTCTGCTAAGCTATGATATGATATAGTATGTAGATCATTCATTACGTTTCAAGCTAATATTGTATTTCTGATTGAGGTACATTATTTATGTGCATTAGGTACATTATTTTAATACATAAGATACATTATTTTAATGCATCATTTATGTGTACATTCTGCTGTACATATTGTGTTTCTGACTGAGGTACATTATTTATATGCATTAGGAACATTATTTTAATCCATATGGTACATTATTTTAATGCATCATTTATGTATACTTTCTATTGTGTATTCGGATCATTCTTTTAGTGGATATCTTATTTCTTTGTAGAGCATGACTGGATTTATTAGGTGCACCACACACCCCCTCTACTTAGAAATCTGATATTCACTAAAAATAATATTGAAGCTGGTAGAAGAAAGATTGAAGGTGAGGTTGGTCCTATTTACTTTGATGACTTTGAAAGATCCTTGGAAAGTGGTGGTATACAAAGTCCTTTACGAAATGGTGCGAAAGGCGATCGTAATCCAGGGCTAATTAGTACAGTACAAAAAAGGTATAACCAAGCAAGAAGCCGGAAGAATCATGTAAAGACGGTTGAATTTAACACGAAGGCTATAGTCCAATTTTTGTGCAGTAAATTGTTTATGATATTGTTTGTAGTGGGTATCTAATTCATCCTAGTGGCAATATTAGTTCATAATTGGTTTGTTTTAGGTCTAAGTCTCAAAACAAGTCAAATGATAATTAGAAGAAGTTGCACTAATTTTGTTTACTTATATATGCACTTGACATATTATGAACTTGTTTTTTGCTTTGTGAGTTATTACAAAAAGTATTTGCACTTGACCGATTATGAACATATTTTTTTGTTTTATGCATTAATAAAATGTTCCTTTGTTAAGGTCACATGTATTCATGAGCTGACCATCACTTGATTTGGTAATGTACTCGGTGGGTTAGAATAATGTACCTTATGCTCTAAAATAATGTATCCTATGAGTTAACAAAATGTATCCTTGTTACGGTCACATGTGTTTATGAACTTACCATCACTTGATTTGGTAGTGTACTCTATGGGTTAAAATAATGTACCTTATGCTCTAAAACAATGTACCCTATGAGTTAATAAAATGGATGCTTCCTAAGGTCACATGTGTTCATAAACCGACTATCACTTGATTTTGGTAATGTACTCTATGGGTTAGAATAATGTACTTTATACTTTAAAATAATGTACCCTATGAGTTATCAAAATGTATCTTAGTTAAGGTCACATGTTCATGAATTGACCATCATCCCCATCCCCGAAACACCAACCTCGTCCCCGTCCCCGCGGTGAATAAGGGGAGGGGTTTTCCCTTCTTTGACCCCATTTCCAAAAATTTTCTCCATCCTCGTCCTCATTGGGGATACGGCATCCCATACAATTACTTGATTTGGTAATGTACTATGTGTGTTAGAATAATGTACCTTATGCTCTAAAATAATGTACCCTATGAGTTAATAAATGTATTCTTGTTAATTTCACATGTATTCATTCTTCCAATAAAGGCTGAACCCCAACCCTAAGAGCCCCCCACACCACAGCCCGACGGAGCATTTGGAAGGAGCCCCCCTCACTTTGAGAGGTTGCTCCTACACTGCCGCTGGTGAGACTTGATCCCTGGTCATTCTTCCAAAGTTTCACCTCTATGACCAGTTGAGCTAGCCATGCGGGCTATTTCACATGTATTCATGAACGGCCCGACACTTGATTTGGTAATATAATTTGTGGGTTATAATAATGTACCTTATGCTATAACAATGTACAGTAGGGATAATATTTATGAAACAATGTAATTTGAATATTATAACATAAACTTTTTATAACAAAATAAAATATTTACAAAATAGGTTAAGACATATCAATATCAATTGTTCTTCCTAATAGTCAATTACCACTATCAAATTGACACAAAAAACTGTCAATTACCACCATCAAGTTTTCCTTCCAATCATTCAATCCTGTATTTGTTTACTTATGATGCAGATAGATAATGTACTATATACACCTAATCTTTATACACACAAATAATGTACTTTATGAACAAAAATTATGTACCCTATGAACAAAAATTATGTACTTTGTGCACACGTAGAACCACTGTTGCAAATTTTGGAGTATTTGAGTTGTTAGGAATTGTTAGATCATCCCTATAACCTTCTTATTGTCCAATCACAACCTCTTCATCTTTAATTGAAACCACCGACTGAAGAACCTAAATTCCAAATTAAATGAATCAAATGAAATTGAAAATCTTGTTAATCATAAGCCAAACATCGGCAACAAAGAAAACACAATCAGATACTTATGTATATATGACACAAAAAATATACATACATATATACATAAGGTCATTCTTCAACATGCTTCTATGGAATAACATACATATTACAATACTAAATGCATATCCAGAGCAAACCTTCACTTTCTCGTCCCGGATGTGCGAAGGCTTTAGAGAAACGAGTAATAATCCCTAAATTTTTGCTTGAATAATTTACTAATAACCTGCTCTAAAACAACATATAAACAATGAACAATATTTTTAAATTTCTGCACAACAAAATGTATAGATAAATCATGCATAAACATAATGTACCCTGTGGATTAAAATAATGTACCTAATGCACATAAATAATGTACCTTAATCAGAAACACAACTTTTAAATCAGAATGCACACAGAAATGATACATTAAAATAATGTAGCGTATGTATTACAATAATGTACCTACCGAACATAAAGAATGTACCACAATCAGAAACACAATATTCACATCTGAAAGTACACATAAATCATGCATTAAAATAATGTACCCTATGGATTAAAATAATGTACCTAGGGATGTCAATCGGGCCAGCCCACTCGGTTTCGGGCTAGCCCTGTCGGGTTGTCGGGCTAATCGGTTTATTAATATTTTATTCTCGGGTTCGGTTTGGCCCTATCCCTAAACTTTGAGTTGTCGGGCTAATCGGGCGGGTTGAACCATCTGAACTAAAATTAGAAACTGAAAGTGAGTACCCATATTTAGAGTAGGGATGACAACGGGGCGGAGCGGGACGGAATGGGGCGGGGCGGGAAGTATACTCCCCATCTCCGTCCTCAACGAAAAATTAAAAATAGTCCCTATCTACGTTCCCGCGGAGAATTTAGCGGGGACGAAAAATTCCGTCCTCATCAATTTTTAGTCAAAATATTAGATTAAAGTTGATTTAAATTTTATAAAACTAAAAATTT